ATCAGGCTGGTGGGGAGCGGGGCTGTTGGGGGGTAAACAGACCAACAGACGGGGTCAGTTGGGAGCGATCAGGCCGTCAGTGAGGGCAGGGCCAGTTTGGAGTGAGCAGGCCAGCAGGGGGGGCCAGTTTGGGGTGAGCAGGCCGGCAGCGAGGGGCAGTTGGGGACAAGCAGGCCAGAAAGCTGAGTGGTTAGGGGCAATCAGGCAAGCAGGCAGGTGAATGGTTAAGAACCAGCAGTCCTAGATTGTGGCAGGGATGTCTGACTGCCAGTTTAGGCCCAATCCCTGTAAACTGACTTTAGGTCATTCTTCAAGGGATTCCAGATTGGAGAGGGTGCAGGCTGGGCTGAGTGACATCCCCCTCCCCGTGCATGAATTTCATGCACCGGGCCTCTATATATAACAAGTTAAGTTGACTTGCGCATGCACAGTTCATATAAAGCTCTTGCTAGTGCCAATCACACACGTGTGTTTCATTATGTCATTGTTGATTGTGAATTTGGTTGACACTACTATTATAAAGAGTGAATAGTGATACTAAAATAGTTCTAATTAATTTCTTTTCAGTGAGCACAAATTCTTACACTGGGCCACTAGTGTTTTCATGTGTCTCTTGTCATTTTGTAGGTCCTCATTCAAAAAGTGTCTATTGAGTTCCTGTGCCCATTTTTTTTTATTGGATTGTTTATCTTCCTTTTGTTAAATTGTATGAGTTCCCTATAAGTTTTTGAAATTAAACCCTTATTGGAGATAACATTGGCAAATGTGTTCTCCCATGCAGTGGGCTTTTTTGTTGTTTTGTTGATGGTTTATTTTGCTGTGCAGAACCTTTTTATTTTAATGTAGACCCATTTGTTTATTTTCTAGGTTTCCATTGCCTTAAGCGTCGTATCAGTAAAGATATTTCTAGGACACGTGTCTGTTATATTGCTGCCTATAGCTTCTTCTAAGATTTTTATGGTTTCCTGTCTTATGTTTAAGTCCTTTATCCATTTTGAGTTTATTTTTGTGTATGGTGTAAGTTGGTGGTCTAGTTTCATTTTTTTGCAAGTATCTGTCCAGTTTTCCCAACACCATTTATTGAAGAGACTGTTTTGTCTCCATTGTATGCTCTTGCCTCCTTTGTCAAATATTAATTGAGCATATTGGCTTGGGTCAATTTCTGGGTTCTCAGTTCTGTTCCACTGGTCTATATTTCTGTTCTTGTGCCAGTACCAGGCAGTTTTGAAAACAGTGACTTTGTAATATAGCTTGATATCTGGTATTGTGATCCCTCCAACTTTGTTCTTCTTTTTCAAGATTGTTGCAGCTATTCAGGGTCCTTTTTTTTTATTTATTCCAGATGAATGTTTGGAGAGTTTGTTCTAGGTCTGTGAAATGTTCCATTGGTACCTTAATGGGAATTGCATTCAATCTAAATTGCTTTGGGTAGTATGTACATTTTAATGATGAAAGAACTTTGTTTGATTATGATTTCTGCTCTGATATTTATTATTTTCTTCAACTTGATTTGGGTTTATTTTGCCTTTTTTTTCTAGTTTCTTAGGGTAGAAACTTAGATTATTGATTTGAGAACTTTCTCCTTTTCTATTGTAAACATTTTGGCTATATATAATATTTTCCTCCAAGCATTTCTTTATTTAAAATTTTATTTTAATGTTTAAAGTATTAGAAAGAGTAGTACATATGTCTCCTTTTTTGTCCCAGTCTCCCCTATCTCCAGTATCTTGCATCCATTGATTATGCTTATATGCATGCATACCAGTTCTTTGGTTGATCTCTTACCTCCCTACTCAAACCGTCCCCAGTTTTCCTGCTGTATTTTGACAGTCTGTTCAATGCTACTCTGCCTCTGTATCTATTTTTGATCATCAGTTTATAACGTTCTTTATTATCCATAAATGAGTGAGATCATATGGTGTTTTTCTTTCATTGACTGGTTTATTTCACTTAGCATAATGCTCTCCAATTTCATCTATGCTGTTGCACATGATAAGAATTCCTTTTTTATAGCAGCATAGTATTCCATTGTGTAGATGTACCACAGTTTTCTAATCCATTCATCTGCTGATGGGCATTTAGGCTGTTTCCAAATCTTAGTTGTGGTAAATTGTGCTGCTATGAACATAGGGGTGCATATATCCTTTTTGATTGGTGTTTCTGATTTATTGGGATATAGTCCTAGAAGTGGGATTACTGGGTCAAATGGCAGTTCCATTTTTAGTTTTTTGAGGAAACTCTAGGGTTCTTCACTGTGGCTGCACCAGTCTGCATTCCCACCAGCAGTGCAGGAGGGTTCTTTTTTCTCCGCATCCTTTCCAGCACTTGTCATTTGTTGATGATAACCATTCTGACAGGTGTGAGGTGGTATCTCATTGTTTTGATTTGCATCTATCGGATGATTAGTGACTCTGAGTATGTTTTCATGTGTCTCGTGGCTTTCTGAATGTCCTCTTTCGAAAAGTGTTTATTTAGGTCCTTTTCCCATTTAATGATTGGGTTGTTTATCCTTCTTTTGTTAAGTTGTATGAGTTCCAGGTAAATGTTGGAGATTAAACCCTTATCGGAGATAACATTGGGAAATACGTCCTCCTATGCAGTGGGCTTTCTTGTTGTTTTGTTGATGGTTTCTCTTGCTGTGCAGAACCTTTTTATTTTGATGTAGTCCCATTTGTTTATTTTCTCCTTAGTCTCTCTTGCCCTAGGATCTGTCTGTAAAGATATTGCTATGGCATATGTCTGCAATTTTGCTGCCTATAAAGTCTTGTAGGATTTTTATGGTTTCACATCTTACATTTAAGTCCTTTATCCATTTTGAGTTTGTTTCTGTGTATGGTGTAAGTTGGTGGTCTAGTTTCATTTTTTTACAAGTATCTGTCCAGTTTTCCCAACACCATTTATTGAAGAGACTGTTTTGTCTCCATTGTATGCTCTTGCCTCTTTTGTCAAATATTAATTGAGCATATTGGCTTGGGTCAATTTCTGGGTTCTCAGTTCTGTTCCATTGGTCTATATTTCTGTTCTTGTGCCAGTACCAGGCAGTTTTGAAAACAGTGACTTTGTAATATAGCTTGATATCTGGTATTGTGATCCCTCCAACTTTGTTCTTCTTTTTCAAGATTGCTGCAGCTATTCAGGGTCTTTTTATTTTTTAATTCGAGATGGATGTTTGGAGAGTTAGTTCTAGGTCTGTAAAATGTTCCATTGGTACCTTAATGAGGATTGCATTCAATCTATAGATTGCTTTGGATAGTATGTACATTTTAATGATGAAAGAACTTTGTTTGATTGTGATTTCTGCTCTGATATTTATTATTTGCTCTCTTCAATTTGATTTGGCTTTATTTTGCTTTCCCCCCACCCCTAGTTTCTTAGGGTAGAAACTTAGATTATTGATTTGAGACCTTTCCCCTTTTCTATTGTAAGCATTTTGTCTATACATTTTCCTCCAAGCATTTCTTTATCTTCATTCCACATATTTTGATATGTTGTAATTTTGTTTTCATTCAACTATGTATGTTTTTTGTTGTTGTTATTCCTCACCCAAGTATATTTTTTCCATTGATTTTCCAGAAAGAGTGGAAGGAAGGGGGCAGAGAGAGAGAGGGAGAGAGAGAAAGAGAGAGAAAGAGAGAAACTGATATGAGAGAGACACATAGATTGGCTGCCTCTTATATGAGGCCAGGGATATAACCTGAAACTCAGGTATATGCACTTGATTAGGAATCGAACATGAAATCCTTTGGTTTACAGACTGATGCTCTGACCCCTGAACTCCACTGGCCAGGGCACATATATATATTTTTACCTTTCTTTTGAGACTTTCTCTTTAAACCATGGACTATTTAGAAGTATTTTTTAATTTCATGTGTTTTTAGATTTTTCTGGTCTTATATTTTTTTGTTTTTTGAATTCTAGTCTGATTTCATTTTTATCAGATTTCCTTTTCTCACTTAAGTTGTGAATTTTTTTTTTGTTTATTTATTCTCAGTCTGATGGGTGAATTTTTATTGTGTCCTGCTCATTTTGTCTATTATGTTAGGAGAGTCTGGGTCCTATTTAAATAATTTAATGGGAATTCACCATGTTTTAGTTTATTACATATGTTCTTTTCTACAGTGACAATTTTAATTTTCAGAGACTTTTTGTTATTTCCTTGGTTTATGTGGCACTGATAGGACTCCCATGTGTCTCTCCTGGTGCTTCCTGAAGGTAAGGAAGGTATTTACTTGGGCTAGAGTATCTCTCAGTGGGAATTGGGAGTCTTGGACCCACAGGGATAAAAGGCTTCCTGGGCCAGGCCACTTGTGCCGAGGCATCTTGCTAGTCCTGCCTGCCCATTTGGTGTCTTGTAATGGATTCTTATGCTGTCAGAAGGTTTCCCATGAAAACTGGAGAAGGAAGAAGCCTATTCAGGAAAGCTTCTGTTGCTAGGTTGTGAGTTAGAAAACATTAGATCTGGGTTGCCGCCTTCTGTTGGATGTGGGTATGTAAGAATTCTTGCTATGTTATTCTCCTAGTCCTGGGGTCCCAAACTTATTTTCCCACTTTTTAAAATTCTCTGTTGGTCCCTGGATGGCATGGATCAGTTGTTTGGGTATCGTCCCATGCACTAAAGGTTGCCAGTTTGATTCCTGGTCAGGGCACATGCCCTGGTTACTCGCTCAATCCGAGAAGGGGGTGTGCAGGAGGCAGCCACTTGATGTTCAGCTCTCACATTGATGTTTCTCCCTCTCCCTTCTTGTCTCTAAAAATCAATTTTTAAAAATATTTTTTAAATGTTATTAAAATTCTCTTGGTTGTTTATTACATTCTTTAATTGGCTTGTTGTTGGGCCTAGTAGGGAGGAGGATCAAGGTGAAATAGGCTTATGCAGTTTCGTGTGGATTGGACTAGAAACCACTTGTTCCTTTTTTTTTTTAATCATTGATCTTTAAGCTCCGTTTCTAGTTTTGTTGTATTGGGATATAGATGGCTGATTCTTCTGTTTATTCCAACAGGGTTAAAGCTCAAAAATGACACTGGAAATGACCCACCTATGTCTACTTCTCCATTAGAAATACAAACAACAGGATGCAAAGTATTAAGAAAGGCCAGAATGAAAGTTGCCCAGAAAACGACAGTCAAAGAAAATCCTGGTGGTACACATAAGGTACGGAAACGGCCTCGAGCTTTTCTGGGGAGGAAGAGAAAGAAACTTTCAACTTGTAAACAAGAGCTTCCAAAACATATGGATCTTCATGGGAAAGGCCATGCAGGAGAGAAACCTTTTAAATGTCAGGAATGTGGAAAAGGCTTCAGAGTTAGCTCTGACCTAATTAAGCACCAGAGAATTCACACTGAAGAGAAACCCTATAAATGTCAACAGTGTGATAAGAGGTTTAGATGGAGTTCAGATTTAAATAAGCACTTAATGGCACACCAGGGAATAAAACCATATAGATGCTCATGGTGTGGAAAAAGCTTTAGTCACAACACAAATCTACACACACACCTAAGAATTCACACAGGAGAGAAGCCCTTTAAATGTCATGAATGTGGAAAAAGATTCATTCAGAACTCGCACCTTATTAAACACCAAAGAACCCACACAGGTGAGCAGCCTTATTCCTGTAGCATATGTAGGAGAAACTTCAGCAGGCGGTCAAGCCTTCTTAGACACCAAAAGCTCCATGTGAGAAAGGAATAATGTCCAGAATCTCCAGTCTGAAGAAAGTCACCATATGGGGCTTGACTCTAGAGGCAAAAGAATACAAAATCATGAGGCACCTAGGATTATGTCATCAACAGAAAATTTGAGAGGGGTACATGTCATGCTTCACATAAAGGAATCTAACTTGTCTCTTATTCAGTATTGTATCTTCAATGCCCAGCATAAGACTGATAACATAATGGGTACTTTATAAATATTATAAAAGAATGAAAATATACCAATCATATGTCTATAGTCTATCTATCTACCTATCTACCTATCTATCTATCTATCTATCTATCTATCTATATTATTACCTTCCCAACCCTATGTGATTTAAATTCTTCAGGTAGGTATCAGGTCCTCAGCTAATGTATGATGGCCATTAGTCCTACTCTCATTCTCAGGAGAAGTGGAAAGCAAGAATATTCAGGTTCTCTGAAGGGAGCTCAGAGAGTATTACTAAGTTAGACTTTCTAGGGCTATTATTATTTGTGGATGAACAACAAATCCCATGGCTCAGGGAACTTTATTCTGGAATAGTAAGAGAGGATTCACTGCCCTGAAAGAAGTACACCCATTCTAGTTGCTCCTCCCATGAATACTACTGCAATGTTTTCTATCAAGGAATTCCAAGCCACATGTGAAGGCCTAATATCAACACAGACCTTGGGACCTTGTAAGCACTTGATATATCCCTTCCTGCTGATCCTTTCAACACTGAGGTATATGGAGTGTAATGGTGAAGGAGGTAGTCTTGGCCCTCATTCCCATATCTTCAAAAGCACAGAGCAGTGGTTATTGGTCTTTTTTGACTTTAACTTTGTGGACTGGAGACTCAAATTGGTGCCACACTGCTCCAGGGCCTAAAGGAAGGCCCATTATTATAGCTGTTCAACACAAACCCATATACCTGAATGCTCTGCAGAAGATCTGGAGACTTTGTGAACTACTTGACTGTGAAATGCAAGGAGAGCCCTGTGACCTAACCTCAATGCACTTATCGGGAGGAAACATCCAGAAATGTCAGAGCAAAGTAAGGCCTGTGGCTTAGAATGATGGCCTCAATGAGAGCTTGGTCAGATGGAAACTGGTTTTTGACATTGGTGGTTTCTCTTTCCCCGTTGGCCTCAGTGATTATCTTCTGAAAAGCAATGTGATGTCAAGACATGGATTTATATCTTCGTCCAATCCTAGTTTATGATGTTGACCAAGGCATCTATATATTGATTCATAAAATTGTACCTTTTTATGAAAGTGGCATGTTGTTTCATATTGTTTGAACATTAAACAAAACATTGTTACCAAATTATGTAGAGATGGCCAATGTTCATTTTTTTTGAAATATATACAGCTATATTTTTTTCCATAAAGAGACTTATTTAATCCTGTTTTCAGTTTTGTAAAATGGAGATAATTCCTTCTCAGGGCTGCTATGAGGATTAAATGAAACATGTGAGTATGCCTGACACCGATGGGCCACATAACTATTCCATAAACATTTGGAGCATTCTTCCTTCATCTTTCACCTAGTTTTTTTTTTTTAAGCATTGTATTTATGATTTTTTTTCTTCAATTTCAGTTTACATTCAATATTATTTTGTATTCATTTTGGGTATTTTATTCCTCACCTGAGTATATGGTGTGTGGTTTTTGTTTGTTTTTTCTAGAGAGGAAGGGAGTGAAAGAAAGAGAAAGAAACATCCATGCAGGGATTAAACCCGAAGTGTAGGTATGTGCCCTGACTAGGAATAGAACATGCAACTTTTTGGTATATGAGACACTGTTCCAACCAACAGCCACTTAGCCAGGGCACTAGTTATTTTTTTTTTAATCTGCTTTATCTAGTTGTCCATATTTTAAGCATCCCTAATTAATGGGATTTTAAAGCCTGTTTGTGATGTTCTGAATGGTAGCCTTCTGGTATAACATTTTCTGAGGTGCTTCTCTTTAGGCCCGAGGTCAGGGAAACTGCGGCTCTTGAACCACACTCGGCTCTTTGACCCCTTGAGTGTGGCTCTTCCACAAAATAGCACAGCCTCTTCCACAAAATAGCACAGCCTGGGCGAGTCTAATTTGAAGAAGTGGCATTAGGAGAAGTTTAAGTTAAAAAAATTTGGCTCTCAAAAGAAATTTCAATCGTTGTACTGTTGATATTTGGCTCAGTTGACTAATGAGTTTGCCGATCACTGCTCTAGGCTATTAAACAATTAGCTAATGTCCCTATTCAGCTAGTTACACTTTTAATGAGTGACAACTAAAATATACTAGATGCCTGGAAAAGGAAGCAGGAGGTGATGGCTGGATTGGAATTTTTATGGATACTATTTACACTGTTAGGTGCATCCACAAACTAATGAAAGAAGGAAAAGGTGAGTGTACAATGGTAACTAAAAAGAATGAAACTGCTAAGCCTGGAGGAAGAAGTTGCCTGGAAGGAAAAGATCCCACTATATTCCTAAAACTTGGGAGACTGACTGCCCCACCATCCTTCCCAGAATTTAATGAGATTGTGTCCTTGGAACTAAGGGGGCATTAAAGTTCTTGCAGAGAGTACTGTCTTTGCATGAATCCATGTTTAGCAGCACCCTGGATAGCTGCTATCATCACTATTCGTGTAACATTTACAGTAGAACAGAGCCAGCAGTTACTGTCCACTCGGGAGATTCAGCAAAGTTCCTAACAACAGGTCAGCAAAAGGGCACTCCATTTTCACATAACTGCCAGTCCCTGTTACAACACCTGTTAGCTTGAAAGCTCATTTGGCAGATTCTCATCTAGCATTCCCAGGAGAGGTAAAAAACAACAACAAAAAAACAGGGTAATGGGTCCTGTTACAGAAATCAGTTAAGGTAAGTGTCAGGAAGGCCTTTAGATATGAATGGGCAGAAACAGGAAGAGAATTGAGGATTCTTGGTTCCAAGTTCAAACTATATTGCAATTCTTGAATTTTTAGTTGTGTGTTTTAGTTATGTGATGAAAGCTTGCGCCATCCTGCTCCATCACACCTGGAATATGACTCATCCCTTTGTCCAGGGTCTCCACACTTTAGACTCTCCCTGCCCATTAGTTAAGCACAGACTTGCTTATCACATTGACTGTCACACTATCACAGTGTTTCTGTTCAAGGGACCCTTATTTTACTATTACTTATTAATGGCCTCAAAGTATAAGAGTGTGTATGAAAGGGGCCACATGCTAACCTGACAGGCTCAGGGGAGGCCTGCATGGCAGTCTTGCAGACTCAGAGACCTAGAGTAACCACAAAGGAAGGTCTAAAATTAAACTTTGACTAAAAGCAGTTATGGTGGGTAGTCACCTCCTAGGCTGGTATCTTCATTGATAAGGTCAACCTTTACCTTAACTGAGCCTGTTTGTCTTTTTGCATCTATAATAACATACCTTTTGAAATGTCTAAGTCAGTGTTTTTCAACCTTTTTTGGGCAAAGGCACACTTGTTTCATGAAAAAAATCACGAGGCACACCACCATTAGAAAATGTTAAAAAATTTAACTCTGTGCCTATATTGACTATATATAAAGTAATTCTCTTGAATAGGAATCAAATAAACACAAAGAAAGTATTTTATAATTACTTTATTATGAAATATTAAGTAAACAAAATAGTGAAAAATTATAAAATTCTTGTCTTGTCTGCACCTATGGCACACCACATTGGTCTAAGTAACTTGTGACTTCCCTTTTTCCAGACCCCTTGGGGCACCAGGTGCCAGAACAGATACCACAAATTCCTTCATTATCAAGTTAATTGTTCCTGCATCCACCTAAGTTATGTGTCCATCATTTTACTTTTTATCCAATCCCAGGGGTTTCTCCCGCCTCTCTAGTCTATCACCAATAGATTTCCTGTAACCCACCTATGTCCCTTTCCTTTGATTGCAATGTATAAATACAAATGTAACCCGCCAATCTTTGGAAAAATATCTCAGTTCTGCTTCTCAGCATGTTGACAGTTTGGCTCAAATAAACTCACAAAAATTCTTTACAGGTTTCAATGGTTTTTATGTTAAGAGTAATGATGCTGGAAATTTAGATAAACAAGACAAGCCATCAACTGCTTCTTCCTTAAAGTGAGAGGTAAATGCTTTTTACTTAATAAGGAAATAAAAAAATTGCATTGCATGCTGAGGTTGCTAACTATTTGATAAGAATTAATCTTCTATCTGAAATTGTGATAAAGGTAAAAGAAATCCTTGCTAATTTTGCTGTGGCAACTCCAACTGCAGAAGTTATAGACACAGTGTGTGATGAGTGCTTAGTTTAGATGGAAATCAAATTTGTGGGTGGATGATATGAAGAGAATATGTGTTTCAATCGATGGCAACGTGTTGTGCCAGAAAAGATTGAGCCTATACAAAAACTTCAGCAAGGGACCCTCTGAAATGAGCGACACTAAGCCATTTACTGCAAGTAAGGGATGGTTACACAAATTCAGGATTAGGTTTAGACTAAAAATTATTAAAATTACTGGACAGGATGCTCTGCCAATGAAGATGTTGTTGCCATATTTCCAGCAGGCTAAAGGAATTTATTAGAGTTAAGTACTAGCCACAGTTTCAGGTGTCCACTGGGCATCTTGGAATGTATCCCCTGCAGATAAGGGGGACTACTGTGGTGCCAGAGTCGTTCTCAGCATCTAGAAATTTAAATACACAGATAAATGGAAAGAATAGTATCATGAACACCCAAATATTCATCATCTAGACTCAACAAACATTAACATATTGCCCTGAACATTGTACTGAATCTTTCCATAGATACTTCCCAACCTCATGTCACTTTATTACTAAAATTTCCAGCATATATGACCTAAAATCAGAACATTATCCTACATAAAAATAAAACCAAATTTCCTGCCCATCAGGTAAAAAGCTTGGAATTCATTATTCTTACCCTCACAATAAGACAAAAAAATTAAACTGAAAATTAACAACTCTTAAAATATATCAGAGAATTGATGCCACGGGGCAAATGACTGCCCCAAAAGTAGAAATAAAAGGCAAACAGAATCACAGCTTACAAAGAGCAGAAGCCCAGGAAAAGAAGCTAGCTCTTTAAGCCACACACACAACCCAGACCTCCTTCCTATCTGTCAACCAACCCCTCTATTACAGGTCTTTACCTCTCCTTTGGGGAGTGTTTCTGGAATGAAAGGAGAAATAGAAGGCTGGTATTTCCACTTGGCTGGTCACCAGGTTCTGGCCACTGAGCATGCTTA